CAAGTATAATTTCCGTGAAAGACTATACGGCAGATGTTACATTAAATGAGGTTACGAAAGAGACCAACAACTTACTGCCCATATTCTGTACGTGTTCAAAAAAAGAGGAAAAATTTAGACAAATTTGTTATCAGCGAAGAACTTCCCTTAAAAACACCAATCAGTAACTGAGTGTAGTGCAGGGCCCAACAAAACCGCACAAGATGATAGAATTTTGACAACGTAGCTTGCTAAGCCGTAGTGCAACAAAGAGCATTAGAATATGTAATATTTGATAATATACAGCGAATCTTTATATAAAAATTATTAAAAAATAAAATTTAGCAAAAATTAGTCATTTCAGCGAATGTGCTCAAAACACCAGCCCGAAACACTAAAAAGTGGACAGATCATAACAGTGACCAATTTTAAAACAATTAATGGTCCAATAAATAAAACATTTATAAAACCAAAACATATGATACAGGGGTACAAATAAAATTTAAATCACACATCATTGAACAGGCTATTAATGACCCTTAAGCACTGCACATTGAACAAGCTTCGCTTCCATAACCATTTGATTCTCCGGAATCCGAGGAAATCTCACTTTCGTTCGACAACAGTTTACTGCCCTTTTGACCGATCACGCTGTTCCCGTTCGACTTTACGCCATTCGATTCTTGAGCATCGACCTTCTTGGATTGCTTACTGCGCAAACTCAGTTTGTCGACAGTGAACTGAATGGCGTCGGCCGCAGGCCTCGTCCTTAGATAGTACATACCCGTTTTTAAGCCCTAAAAAGAAAGACCATATCAGAAAACTTCGCAAGACTAAACTTACACAATTTTACCATTATCAATACCACCAGTTCGAAAATACATGGGTTTGTAAACTGGATCATCTTAATAAGCGAACATCACAAATGAAACCGGGGTTTACAGGGCACAGCACCGCTCGGATGATTTTAAACGCTTTTGGTGCCATTTAACCAGAACAGTGGAACACTTTTCAAGTACTTGTGCTACTGCACTACTCAGACATCTTACACTGTTGAGTGACTATAGCAATGTCATGCACGTTGCCAGTGATGTTTCTAGAACCGGTTTCTTTCCATACCTCCCCAAAATATGCATTCTGCGATTCTGTCTCCAACTGTGTATGCTCAAGCGTCGCGGTACAGAACTCTAAAATTAAATTCAGCGTTAGTGTGCAACCGCTGCGTCTCGAAATTGACAAGTCACAGCTGCGATGGTTTCACCAAGTTTAACGAATGCTTTCAGAAAGGAAGATGAAACAGCTACTATACTCACCCTAATGACCGGCGAAAGACTTATGGGAAACCAAGAACGGCCTGGAACAGGCGTATCGAACGATACTGTTCCAGATTGGTTATATTCTGCTGAAGTTCAAACGCTGGCAACAGGTTCGGGAACGCTGAAGATACTGACTAACGCGTCTGCTTCCGCGCCCCGAAAGTACAAGCGGCCATCGAAGCTGACCAAATATTGACATCGACTGAGAACACATACACAAAGAAGAGAAGAATCGTTTCTTACGTGGTCCTGCGATTTAACCTTCAAGTGAATCTGAATGATTTTTGTAAGGCATTAAAACTGTATGATGATAGACCCGAGAAAATTGACAGGTACCAAAGTAATAAAAAATAGAACAGGAGCGAAGACAATTCTCTACAACAACCTCTTTTGATGTATTATCTACACTCAGACTTTTTGAACGAAAATATTCTCGAGCATCGATATATTAAAGACCGGGTGCTATATCACTCTTATGTATCCGGTGTTCTGCATTTTTATCACTAGATAATCATACATGCTCAAAATTCTTGTGGAAAACAGTTTGTAATCAAACTTCAGTGTTACTTAACTAAGAGAAACACTCCACTGTCCTGAACGGCCTTAATTCCAGTTCATATGAGGAAGGATCATTACATATGGCGGAAATGATCAACATAGCTGTCAAAGTCTAGGACAATTTTAAACAGTTAAAGCCCAAAGTGTTTCCAGCACAGCTTATATAAGAAAGTAAGACCATTCGTATTCTGAGAAATTCAAGAATAATCAACTGAAAATATATAAAAATAAAAATGCTATTTTAGATATTAGCTGCCAAAACAGCACTGAAAAGGAATTACCTTTTTCCAACCATAAAAGTGCATAGACGTTATTTTGCCGTAGTTAGGTTCCGCGATGTGTATGTTCAGCGACTGCGACTGGTCAACGAAGGCCCCTCTATCGACAGCCATATCGATTACGGTCTTCTGCGAAATTTCCCAAACAGTTTTGTACAATTTTTTAATGTGTTTTGGTATGGAATCGATGTTCTGAATTGATCCTCCGTTCGCAATAATCTCATTTTTCATATTTTCGTTCCACAGCCCGAGTTCTACCAAATCTTTCATCAGATGTTGATTGACGATCTTAAAGTGTCCCCAGCTGAGAAAAATGAAAGCAAAAATTAAATAACATGTCGTACCTGAAACTCGCCTGAAAGGACACGACGACTATACACGTTAGACGTGTAGGCTTCGATCGATTCGTTATTTCCCAAAATCTGAGCGGTAGATGCCGTTGGCATAGGTGAGATCAGAAGGGAGTTTCGAACACCAAACCTACAATCAGAGCCATAAACCGATAAGGAAAACTGTGCACCAACATTACATAGCAATTTTAGCTTTCAGCGCAGACCAGTCCCAAAGATCGGTAGGAATCACATTCCACATGTCGTACTGCAAGATTCCCTTGCTGACAGGACACCCTTGATACGTTTCGTACGGTCCAAACTTTTCGGCCAATTCACAGCTGGCTTCCAAAGCAGCGTGATAGATCGTTTCAAAAATCTGTCGGTTAAGCAGGGCTGCTTCTTTTGACTCGAACTCATAGCGCATAAGAATAAAGGCATCGGCCAGCCCCTGAACACCTATTCCTATTGGTCGATGTCTTCTATTGGATTTTTCGGCCTTAACGCGCAGAAAAGAAATGCATGAATGAATTACTAAGCCAGTTAACGAGATTACCTCAGGTACTGGATAGTAATTGACGTCGATTACTTTATTAAGATTTCTGGTCACAACTTTAGTAATTTCATGCAGTCTATTGAAGTCGAAGGTTGTCTCCGGTAGCTGGACGAAACGATTTAAAGCAATCGAAGCCAAATTACAAACGGCAGTCTATAAGTGCAAGTACAAAAGAGAAAAATATAGACAAAAACGACGCTACCTCATCGGGCGACGAATATTCGATGATTTCCGTACAGAGATTTGAGGATTTAATCGTTCCCAAATTTTGCTGATTAGATTTTCGATTACATGCATCTTTATAGACGATGAACGGATTACCCGTCTCTATTTGAGCTTCTACTATCGCGTACCACAACTGCTGTGCCCGAATCTTTCGCCGATATCGGCCTTCTCGTTCATACCTTAACAGAAAGTCATGTAACTTAACAATAATCACCGATGAAGCAAAAAACGATGTTATAAATCCACAGCAAGAAATAAATTTGTTGCATACCTATTTAAATAAAGATAAATGGTTTTGCAACAATCAATATATAGGAAACAAAATAGTTTTCCACCACCGATTAATCAACTGTCAAATGCTTTTACAGCAGAGCCCGTGCTCGAGAAAATGAAAGTGTATGTCGCTGAAGCATATAAAAATATGAGTAACGAGGCTCCTTTTTATGTCAATGTGGACGTTAAACATTTTAGTATTTTATAGTAGTAAACCTAATCCAAACCAATTAAGTTTAAGAGTAGTGGTTAAATTACTGCTGAACTGGCAGTACTTTTTCGTCGTTTGGCGCAAGGAAAAAATTTCTGAGAATATTTTACGACTATCTTCCACCTTGATTCCAGTTCACATATAATTCGTATCAACGAAAGGTTTCAACGATACAGAAGAGTTTTCTGCAGAAGTGAGTCTATTAGCCTGAAAATTGCGATTATATAAACTATAAAAATTAAATGAGTTATATTATAATACTGCATTGTTTACAAAACAATATTACTGTATAAAACACATTCAGGAAAGGCTACAATGGACTGAGTTTCGAAAAGTTAGTCCTGGTATGTCAATGAAAATACGTTGTCAAGCAA